TTGTCTTCATGGAAACGTAACACAGGCGCTCAGGAGAATCTTTTGGAGTTATTTGTGAATTGAGACTTGGTCAGTGTCACAGTTGGTAATATGTTTGAGTTTGTAGATTCAGGAGTTCCTAAAAAGCTGAACGATCTCTTAAACTTAAGTAATTTCAATGACTTTTAAATAACTGTCATGTAAAGTGGTTTACAGATTGGCTCAATCTGAAAATAAAAGTTCATTTCGCTGATTTCCTTTGCTTGTTTGTGGTGTTTTGTTAAAATGTGTGCAGGTGTCACTCAAAATGAAGGAAACCCTTAAACTGTGGTGTTTAACTCCAAATCAATCACACTTCTGTGAAATCAAACTGTCCACTTGGGAAGCAACACTGACAATCAATTTCACATGTTGTGGAAATGATACAGACAACAGGTGGAAATGATGGGCAATCCCCAGTAAAGGAGTGGTTCTGCAGGTGGTGACCACAGACCACTTCTCAGTACTTGTGCTTTCTGGTTAATGTTTTGGTCACTTTTGACTGCTGGCAGTGATTTCACTCTAGTGGTAGCATGAGACGGAGTCTACAACCCACACAAGTGGCTCAGGTAGCACAGCTCATCCAGGATGGCACATCAATCTGGGGTGTGGTAAAAAGGTTTGCGGTGTCTGTCAGCGTAGTGTCCAGAGCATGGAGGTGCTACCAGGAAACAGGCCAGTGCATCAGGAGATGTGGAGGATGCTGTAGGAGGGCAATAACAGAGCAGTAGGACCACTACCTCTGCCTTTGTGCAAGGAGCACTGCCAGAGCCCTGCAAAATGACCTCCAGCACGTCACGAATGTGCATGTGTCTGCTCAAACAGTCAGAAACTGACTCCATGAGGGCCCTACGTCCACAGTTGGGGGTTTTGCTTACAGCCCAACACGTAGCAGCATGTTTGGCATTTGCTAGAGAACACCCTGATTAGCAACTTTGTCCATGGTGACCTGTGTTCTTCATAGATGAACATATCTCTATCATAGTATTTCAAGCTCAAATTTTTAATATAGAAAAATATTAATATGCACTTGTAATAAATGTTACAATATACCATAAAAGTACAATTGATTATCACAAAACAAGAAACAAAAGCAAAATCCCAAAGTAGAAACTAACATTTTCTGTGTATGTGTACATATTAAAAATGCAAACTTCTTAAAAAGGAAAAGCACTCAAATTGGAAAACTAAAACAAATGCACAATAAAAGATTGTAGTTTTTTTGGCCAAAAATGACTTCCTTACTGATGATATTGGGCACAACTGAAGAAACACTGCCAAAGTTGGGTTCGCATCTTAACTTTGTAAAGCTTTAACCATGAAATAATTGCTACAACATTCTGGCATTGAATTATTCTGGCGTGTTTACAAAACCTTCAGACTTTATATACACCCATCATTTTTGTGCAGTTTATTGCTCACAGTAGCGCTGCATGGGTCTGACTGTATACAGCAGGTTTTTGAGGAGAAAAGGAAATCGCACTGATGTAGAGGTCTCATTTTGACCTTCTGGAGATGCACAAACACAGAGGTTAGTGTCAATCAGCCCACTGGTCTCCTGTCTGCTCAGCATCCGCCCCCTGCGGGCCTGGAGAGACATGACAGCACATGCCTCAGACTGACTGCGTCACTTGTCTTTTCAGCCCAATAAAGCGTTCATTCTCAGCACAAAGATGGGTTCAGTACCTTCCAGTAGAAATACGGGACGATATTCTCCAACAGCAGAATCAGCGGCAGGACGACCACTCTGATGCTAAGATCTGATCAGACACATTCGGTCATCAGCAGTCCGACAATCACTTCAACACAGAGTTGATTGATTCACGCCCATGTTTGTATCTAAAATTTCACTAATTTCATTGAATACTGACCATCACAGCCCAACTACAGTTTGTCATTGTGCATTCAAAGCTGAGCTGAGCTGTCTTGGAGAAAGTTTTGTGGTGTTTATGAATTTACTTGTGTCTGTGTTTTTGTTGTCTTCTCCGTCATGCTGTTTGGTTTTTCTCTTTACAAAAATGACATCTGGGTTTAGAAGAACACCTGTCAGCATTTCCTCACGAACACACAACATAGGTGTTAAACACACGTACTATCAGCACTGAAGTCATTGCTGATGTCACTAACGGGCTTACCTGAGCAGGTGAGATCCAGGGTATTGACAGAGGACGATGATGTTGCTCATTCTCTCAAAGCAAACGCAGACTGAACACAGTCATGTATGAGCTAAATGCGTCGGGGAGTCCTTTAGTGCTGCAGGCAGGCAACATGTTCAAATAGCGCACAACTGCAGGGTTTTTATTTCTATATGATAATTCTGCATTTTTAAGCAATAAGAACAAGTAGTCTGTTGTCATGTAATCA